AATCCGATCGGTTGTCTGGACAATCATATATAAAATTATTTCCGCTCCATAAAAATAAATGAAATATCGTGTCGATATAAAGATTGCCTCAAACTGTATATGTCGGGTCTGGGGCCATTTATTACAAAAAGGCCAGACGTTTTCTTAGGCACGACGTCATTTTCAAAAAAAAAAAAAAACGATAGAGTCGGCGACAAGAGTTGGATCGACATGGTTTTTATATGAAATTTTTGTAGGGGTAAAACGGTGGCTGGAAAAATACAATTTCACGTTTTTAATAAAATTGTTTTAGCCACGTTCGAAGTTTCCAAAATGCGTCGCATCATTTGAGTCCATAATGGTAAATAGATGAACGCATTTCAAAAATATTTGAAGTAATATGTAATTGAACATTCCCAGTTTTTCTGATACCTTGAGAAAACCAAAGAGGAAATGTATTTCAAACAATTAAAACGTCTAAACACCCACAAATGTTGGTTAATCTGTTGGCAAACACTCTGTATATATACAAACTTAATCCAATATGGATCTATTGAGTGTTTTATTTCCAGAAGCCATCTTTTATTATAGCCGTGGAATGTTTTTCTGAATTTGCATTGCATTTGCATCTTAAAAAGCATTATGGCCCGTGACATTAATTCTACTGCACCCAATACATCGTTGACTATAATAGGAAGCATTTTTGTGTCTACTAAGGCAACGATCTTCTAGTATATTTAAAAAATAATAATATATTGGATATAGGCATGAAAATTCTGAACTTTCTTTGGTAGGCCGGCTCTGCATGATAAAAGTGATAAATTTGGGGCATTTTATGGCCAAAGCAATAATGACGGTTTATGGCAGTCAAAATATCAAGGGTGTAATATAAACTATACGAGGACATTATACAATTTTATTTTTATATGCAAAGGAAAATGACGACCCAAAGAATAATGAGATTTATTGTCGTGAAAATATCAAGTATAGAATAAGTTGCCTGAACTGAAATTAGTTCCCGCAAATCGGCACTTAAATAATTCCCAGATTTTTTCAAATAATCTGCAACTGTGTGACGTAATTTTTTTTATTTAAGGTAATTTATGCGCAATTGAGTTTTTCCAAATAAACGCTTTGCTGAAATATTTTAATTTTTAAAATATTATCTTTTTTTTTTTTGGATTTGTCAAAATTGAGTATTGACTATTTAATAAAATTTGCAAAATATACTTGGCATGACGTCCCATTATCATTGCAATTTTTCCTTGTATAAGTATTATACTAAAAACACTTTTCTATTGGTTTCAAATTTTAGAGAAAAAAGATTGGCGAAAATTGCTTTGGATTGCATTTTTTTTCTCCGTCAATTGTAGGTTTTTTTGTTCAAATTATATTCATAAACCATTGTTCGGACGAAATTAATTTCAGCCCCAACAAATACCTTGCTTTGCCTGATATAAGCACGCGAAAGGGAGCCAAAATTTAATCGATTCGATATCGTCCACTTTTAAAATTCTCCCTTGAATTTTGCAAATACAGCCCGAATTCCACACGATCCGGAATAAAAAAATAATAATTAGCTGAGCTTTCATCGTTAAAAGCGAATTAAAACTTTATTAATCAATCGTTGTTTTTGTTTGGCGTGAAAAACTACAAAATAATTTCAAATTAGTAACTAATTAATAGTAATTGGGAAATAAAAAGAGATGTATATTTATTATAGACATGGTTCTTTCTGTCGGAACTCCAACACTTTTAACGCTTTTAGAGTCAAGAAAAATTCCATATAAACGTAAACTTTAGTATAAGCACTTTGTTTTTGATAGGTTATTTCATTATTAAAATATTAATTATTTTTTATTTCATTATTTATAATAATAATAATAATAATAAATGTATTTTTTCGTCGACATTTACCATAAACAATCTCTAAACTGAAGACCAGACTAGACACCAGAAAACTCAACAAGCCTCATACTCATTTTATTCTGAATTTTCTCATTAATTGAGAAAGTTTTAATGGCATAATTATTAAAATTGCTGGTTTTAGGTTTTTTGACACGACAATTGCGAATTTGAAATTTATTGGGACGTCAGTTTTGGTTAGTTTTTCGTATTTGTTAAATAAATAGTTTTAAATTGAAAAGGGGCGGGGAGCAATAAATGCAATAAGAATTTTGTGAAATGTTGGAATCTTATACCATTTACCTCAATGCATTTTCTTAAAAATGTCTTTGAATTTTAACCAAAATTTCTTTCTAAGCGTATTCACGGCTCCTTGCATTTTCTGCCGCAAATAATGCGGATAATTAATTTCTTCGGCGTATATCAAATCCTTCAAGTATGACCACATTGAGAAATGCATCGGGTTTAAGTCTGGACTCCTTGGTGACCAAACAAATTCACCTTCACGTCCAATGTTCACTTTAAACTCATGTCATTCGTTTACAGCAAGTGGATCCTCAGAATTCTACACATGATTATTTCCTCAATTAAAAATTCCTCGCCTTGTAAACGCAGCTTCGTCCGAAAAAAAGAGTCTTAGACATAGGGACTTAGAACCCACTGCATGTGTAAGAATATAAATCTGTATATTATAATAATTTAAGTATAGATAGATAGTTGAACTTTTGTATTTCATTAAGTTAATTATAACCCCCTAGTATTATTCTTTTCTTTTCGTAGTGCGACCCTGTTTATTGCTACACAATGACAGCGGCATAGCTAGTTCTTATGCATTGAATAAGTCAAAACCATTTATTTCCTGAAAGACCCAAATTCCTCCCGGGCTCTAGAAGATATCAAATTAAAAATAATTATTACTATGAAAATCGCCAAAACGAAATAGTTTTCTATATTAATCATTACCGCGGAAAACTGTAATCATTTTTTGTATAAAAAATTAATATGCCGCTACCTTTTCAATAATTTCGCACTGTTTAAAAATCGTAACGACAGTTTTAGTGGAATTATCTTTCCGCGGTTGCGTATTATGATAAAAAATATGCAAATCGTATCTGAGCTGACAGCGCGGCAATAAAAAAAGGCTTTAACTTGATTAAATTTGTAGTATTGGCTCTTTCTTTTCCGCCATTTACCTTCTTCGTTCAAACATACACAGAAAGGGAAGACTAATGAGACTAATAAAGAACGCAAATGGCCCTCGTTTAAAGCGGTCGGTGTTTTATTGTTCTTTTTTGGAGATCGGCAACTGGAAACAAAAAAAGCAAATATTTTTTGTTTGGTTGTAGAGGAAAAAAGTTTGATTCAAACAAAACCTTCGGACAAGCGCCTAAAGGACGAATTAGGGGATATTTTTTGTTATACATTTGGGGTCTAAATGTCATGTATTTTTTTGATGGAGTTTTTTTTTTCGTATGCGCTTTTCTATGGGACGTACGACTGTGGGGAAGGATTACTATTAGTATTAGTATTATTTTTACAAAAAATTTAGGTAGGATACAACTATTAGAAATAATGTCTTCACAGTCTCCAGCAAATAATTTTTGTTAGTTTTAATAAATTTGCCTTAACTTCTAAAATAATGTGGTAGAGGAAGTCTATTTTAAAGGCACTGGGGGGCTTTAACAAACATAAGGCCGGTTGTTTGGAAATTCGGACTGTTAAATTTTTTAGAGAGGAGATTTTTCTTCTGCCAGGTCCGCATGTCTCTCTTTCCTTTGTAGAACTACCTGTGGAAGCCTATAATGTTCATTCCTCATTAAGTGGTTTTATTCATTATGAATTTTTTCTAAAAATTTTTATGAGACGATGTATGAGTGAGTGTATTTTAGTTGATGGCAAAGATGAATAAAAGTTTAAGAAGTCAGCGAAAACTGTATCTTGGGTTTTTTTTTCAAATCGAAGAACTTACGAGTAAAGTAGCCTTAACCTTAACCTTAAAGAATAGTAAATTCAATAAGTAATAACTAACCAGAGCCGTAAGGTATTGCAACAAAGTAAATTTGAAAATTATACTTTTAGTTATTGTTGCAGGAGTTTATGCAGGGCCATACAGTTTTATTTATGCGTCTTGCAAAATCCCTTTCAGAAATTACTACATTGCTAAAGCATTCAAAATATCTCACAATAATATCCACCGCTTCTTTGACTAGTTCAAAATCATTTTAATATAATCGAATGGCATAAAAGACGATCAAAATTCAATAATCTGGTTTAATGCTATTTTCATATTTCGAGTATTACTTCAAATTCTTCCAAAGCTTGTGCTAGTACCCTACTTATTGCTTATGAATCCATGTTGCATTAGGTACCCGAGTATTATATTTTTTTAGATTAGTCAAATAGCGCGTTTGAAAAATAGGATACTTAATAGCTTATTTGCTATTAGATGCGGTTGTTGATGACTGTTTACTCTTCTATTCCTCAGCTATTGTCGAATTATTGTTTACAACGCAGAACATTGAGTTGAGAACGCTCTATTAAACAATGCATAATAATAATAATAAGCACACCCGGAGTTATTAATGTTTTAATAATAACGCATCCAACCTTTCCCCACTAAATTATTTTAGCAAATAGGTCAGAATAGTTAAAAGAGATAAAAAATCTAAAATTGGGCAAAGATCATTATTTCCATTCCTTTTCCTAGGAAACATTTTATAAAATCCCAATTTCTGATTTGCCACATTCCCTGCACTGCCTGGCGGTCGCTTCAGGAATATGAAAATACTTTCCTGCAATATCTGCAGGATACAGGCAAAAGCCATTCTTAGTGGCTTAACCTAGAAGTATACAAAAAGAATGAAAACAGTATATCAAATTTAGACAGGATTTTCGGACTTCTCTATTGTATTTAATATCTCAAAAATAAAATGCCGTCTTTTGTCGATGCTTTGCAGGACTAACTGTGTATATCTTAATGTTAATATAATTATTGAAAGTCATTAGAAAAATGCATCTGATAAAATTGGTAAAACAATTGGTAAAGTCTTTCGTATTTACCATTTTGCGTCTTACACTTGGGGAAAACTACATAATATGTATTTTTCTTATTTCAGGTCTGGACTTTTGGGGATTTGTGGTGCAAAGTTTGGTTAGCCGTTGACGTCTGGATGTGTACGGCATCGATTTTAAATCTGTGTGCCATATCTTTGGATCGGTACGTAGCGGTTACCCGACCGATAACATACCCCAGTATCATGTCCAAATCCAGGGCTAAGTTGCTGGTGGCTGGATTGTGGGTACTCAGTTTCGTCATTTGCTTTCCGCCGTTGGTCGGATGGAAAGACTCGAAGGTTGGTATATTCGCTTTTTGTTCGAAAATAAGTAAAATTTCTGAAAGTCGCAAAAGATGTCTAAAGCTGCTTGAAACCATGTCAATATCAATGCTTACAGACTCCAACGCAAACCAAGTTTGGGTCGGTAAGTCTTTTACTTTTACGATCCTTTTGTTGTGTCTTCCGTGCTCCGCTGGCCGGTTTAATCTCTTAATACTTCGCCGTTAAATACATCTCAGTTGGTCTGCGTCAACGCGCCCCCACACAACCTGCACAATTACTTTCTTGTGACGTCGGGTGACGCCTACGTCGATGTCTTAAAGTTTAGACGATACGAAATTTTCCCAATAATTAAATGTTAAAGTGAAAGCTAGTGGGAAACTTTCCAATCTTCAGCTTAAACGTTCGATATATTATTTACTTGTGAGAAATAATTTCACAGGTCTACAAAATTAAACTTTTTGACTGATGTTTTTATATTGAACACTGATTTTATATATCTTTGGTAGACTGATCAACTAAGGTTTTGTTTTTGTAAATATTAAAGGAAAAACTGGTATTTCTAAAATAATTTATTCTTTTATTTAGCGAAAAAGTGGAATCCCAGTTATAAAAGGTGAAAAAAAAACTTTACTCAGACTTTAAGTGAAATCTTCGTCTTTTTGCCAGAAAGCTGCGTTGCCAGGACATTCCGCTGCATCTTTTTAATGATTTGCCCCGTTTTAACATCCAGCAGTAGTCCGCCATCATCGTTATGCTCCATCTGCCTTGGTATCACCGTTCCATTTCCTTAATGTCCAAGTGAAACCTCTCCCCCTATTCTTCGCTAATTGCTCTTACATGTTCTGGAAAATAGTTTAAGTGTGAAAACAGGAAATGCACTTTCAAACTCATATTATAACCTAGACCATGAAAGTGTTGTAACATATTTTGAGTTCCCAAGAAACTTATCAATATCTTCTTGTATCTTGGCATCAGCAATATTTAAAACTTTGTTAATTTTTCTCTAGGACTTTAACAAACTGCTTGATCAAATAAAGATTGATATGAAGAGGAGGCAATAAAACTTTTTTGGGCTCATCTAAGCTGTCTCTTAAAAACCTTTTTTCTCCTAGGTGTAAGGCTTGTTCTAGAGGGTCATTCTATTTGTGTCCAATCTCTTGCTCGACTATGCCACTCACAAATAAAGCACGAAAATTTTGTATAACCCCCTGTCGTCCTAGAAGCATGCACAGCACTTTAAGATCACCACAAAGCATCCACTGGTGTTCTTGGTAGTTTATTTCCTTCAAAAGAAGTCCTAAATGTTCAGTAGTTTCTTTTAAATATACCGAATGTGCAACGGGAACCGAGGCCAGTTCGTTACCATAAAACGCTGACTTGAGTTCATAAATAGGCTCCATTCTTCTTTTATATACCACTATTAATTTTGAAACTAAGTCAGGAACTATTGAAATGACTCTTTTTCGCGATCCCGGTAAAGCTTGATGTGACGACAGATGCTAATAAATGCTTATCACGATGTCTGAACGGTAACAATTCTGATGCATCCTATGGAAATTGTAAATCTCTAATTAAATCATTTAATTCGGTCTTATTAAACACTCTCATAAATCTGGTGTAAAATCTGAGTCATCTGGGTCGGCATTAGATTCTTCTGATTCGGACGATTTGACGTTCTCTAGTTCATCTGGTGCATTAGGAACTGGTCGAATAGCGGAATCAAGATTGGGACAGAGAACTTCCTTATTTCTATTTTCCTCGCCATGCCATAGCAACACCCAAGCTTAAACATTTCTTCCTACCCTTTTGCCAGTTTCTTAATGCTTAAACGCCAACGGAACAAGAAGAAGCCCAGGACCTGGTCTTGGTCTCCAACTTCTGCACCAAATTAAGCGTGGTATACATTTTTCACAAAAGAAGTTATAGTTTGCCTTGGTTTTACTAAGACATAACTACCAGATATAAACAAGATTATTTGGATTGTTCACACAATGTCTTCTTTCCATATTGATATGAATTACGTAACAATGAGGACAACCGCCGCGAACACAATAACACGATGGCCGATGCAACCAACACGCGAGGCCTGCGAGTGGGTATTGTCAACTGTTGCAGCAGCTGACTCATACATATTTGTGCAACGTCCATTTGTCCGCATATCATTCTTAATTAGCTGATTGCTAGACTAGATGAAACCCACTGAGCACGATGCGGAAAACCGGAATGAACGAAGCTAAGAACGTAGCACAGATATTTCTGCGAGCTGTGCGCATAAGCAGGTTTCAACGCTGTATTGACGCTTCTGCGCCAACTATGTTGCTTTACAGAGAAATGTATATTATTCCGTGTTGGCAGTGTTGCCAATTCATTTAAAAATCATGCCAAACATGGAACAAATATTTTCAAGTCATATAACATTTGTAAGATATACAGCGCTATAAAAAAAACTGACGCAATAGAGCAAAAATAAAGCGTTTTTTGGAAAAAGGTAGGTTTCCATTTTTTTTAATGTTTAGAAAATGATTCGTCGATTTTCTCCTTTGACATTAGTCTCTATACTAAATCGAAAAAATTGTCAAGGATCAAATCTAAACAAAAAAGCAATTTCTATGTCGAATTTATATTGAAAGCAACAAGGATCTTGCCAATGTTGCGTAAAAATAGTGATAGTTACTATTTTTTTATTTGAACAAATCTTTCAAAAACAAGATATTACACAGGGTGTACCAAAAATACAAAATTGTGTTTTGAGAACCTGAAATAATAAAAACGATCATGTAAATCTCTAATTGCTCAGCCTGTCGTATGAAATTTCTAAAATTCTCCTTAAAATATTGATGATGACTTTTGTTTGGTTGTACTCATTTGTATCTATTTTGCTTGCTTAAAAATTTAAATTACTAAAAAACGTCAGTAAACTGAAATTCCCTTTTAATAAATACGTAACAAGCATTTAAGATAAGTTGTTTTTTTTTTACGAATTTAGATAAGCAAGCCTCCAAAGCATACTTTAAAATTTAAAGCGATATTTGCTATAGTTTTCCATGACTCACGGACCACAGAATGGCTATTTTTGGTGGCGGCTGTAAGAAATTTTTCTGGGTAAAAAAAATCTCTCCATTTTAGTTGAAATATTTGCGATACGCACACAACGGAATTTTAAACGATTTGTACCACCATCCAAGTCTGTTATATCGCTTTTACCGATCCGTTCCTCAAAATAGAGGTAAGAGACGGATAGTTCAGTTGATTGGTGATTGCTCTTTAGATTTCGACGCATCCTAGGGGACTTGAGGAGATTTCAGATATTGCCCTTAGACTTAAAATCTAGCAGTTTAAAAAATTAGTCACGGCTTTATGTATCTGGCTGATTTCTGAATTTTTTTCGTTTGTCCTGAAAGCGATTCTAATATTTGAGTTATTTTTGTACTTCTGCAATGGCGACGACATTTTTTCTCCTTTTGTAACTCCCAAAAATAGATTAACAATTTCTTCATCCCTTTCATTTTTTACCTTTACTTTACTTTATCAGAACTGACAGCCCTAAATCGCTAGCTATATCATGTAACACAGTGGATGTCGCTGAAATCCGTTGCAATTCCAAATCGTTCAAAAGATTGACAACAGAGATGTTTCCGGACAAATCGCTAATAATTTTCCTCTGGGTATAGGCGTATCTCAAAAATTGTCAATAATGTTAAATGCTCTACTTTAAAGCATTAAAAAACGATATATTCTTTTACATTTCAAAAATTTCCTGTAGATTTTAGAATACTTTGTTTATCAAACTTGGCGTGTCCGAGAATGTTATTTCCCGCAGAATTGATTTCTCGAAATTCCATCAAATTCGACTAAATTACTCCACAATACCTGGGAATATCCCGAAATTTCTCGGAATACTTCAAAATTTTCCAAAATAATTTGGAATTTCTCTGTAATTCCTTACTCTTATACGATAAGCCATGGGCCTTCTAGTTATTGTCTTGGAAAATAAATAGTCATTATACGTGAAATTTTGAACGACTGGAAGCTTGTTGCTCCCTAATTTTTTGTTTTTGCATTTATTCCATTGCCAGCCGGATACGTGAGTTGAAAGTGGAATTAAAGCAGTTGTACTTTCCAGGAAATTTGCCGAACGAGATAGAATTATGAAATTTGGGATTTGGGCTTTTTATTAAAGGACAAATTCAGCGAATTTTGATTTTCCGACATGAAAACGTGTAATGGCCTCCCACGTACGTATAAAACAAACTCTACCGATTCCAATTACTAACCCCCTAGGCTTTCGATGGGCTCGCTCGATAAAAGCAAAAATTTCCCTGTCAACATTCTACGCGTCTCCGAGCAGCAAAAGCCCCGCCTACGATTTGCGATAACCGTTAATTTGAAGCGTGTAGGTACGCGGCATCACATTTACGAATAATGGGCTCGTGTAGCAACATGTTCATCGTAAATCAACGAATCCAGACGTGCAATCTGGCGCCATAAAAAGAAGGAATCTCCTATATCAACATTAAGCGCGCAAAAAGGAATCTCTCGGGGTATACACCCAACTTGCGAAACAGTCGACTACGTCATCGTAAATAATAATAACGCTCGAGGCGCGTGGTATACGCCAATTTTCGATTGGTGAAGTTTTTCTGTTACACATCCTCTTCGGGTAATTGAGTGGCTGCCGTTGTCTCATTTCTTTATTGTATCGTGATAAGAAATGACGCTGGATAATCAAATTAGCAACGCATTTGACGTAAAGTCTTTATTCGGATTATTTCACAGCTCCAAGATTTTTCAATGCAATACGTCGACATATTATATACTCAATTTAACTCCTATTATATCTACACCATAGCAGTGCCTCCTCCTTGACAGAATGCTTAACTTTTCATCAGACCTTTTGATAACTTCTCGTCTTCCGGTTAACTTCGTTGTATCTCAGATTAGGTTATTTTGTTAAGTTAGTATCTACTTCATCAAGTGTAGCGGTTTCACCTTGTCTTCGCCTCTTCCCAATATCTTGTTCTTCGGCATTTTCATGTAGGTATTGTTTGTTTGCTGTTTCATTTGAGTGACTCACTAGCTAATCTAATCGTAAGAGTTCTAGCCAGTAGACTCGTGCTGCCTACCGACCTGACAATGATCCATATTGGTTCATATTTCTTTAAAAACTATCCTGGAATGAACGCCTACTACATAGGTTTCGTTTCCAATCGTAGCTAGATTTTGAACGTCGTGACTCAGTCATGCTCCATGCTCCTCTATCTGACTAATGTTCACACAACTTGTTCCATTGATTTTAAGATACTTGATTTGATGTTTAAATCTAAGATGACATTAGCCTCCTCTTTTTTTACCGTCTACTTTTCCTTGGATCACAATTTTCTTGTCTTGATGTCAGATTTTTTATATATGCGGACGGCGTAATTTTTTTTAAAAAGATCCGGTATTGAGATTATTATATTACACTCCAGCGTACTTTGGAGCAATTCAACAATTAGTCTCTAAATAATAACTTGCGCCTTCATACATCCAAGTGTAATGTAGTCTCGTTTATCACCATGTGAAATATAACTATCATCTTTTTGATAAAACTCTCTCCTGCTGTAACACTTTTTGTGACTTGGGAGTAATATATATTAGATTATTATTAGACAATTCAGTTGAAATGCTTTCGGTACCAATGCTTAATGCGGTCTAAATATTATAATAGTGTATTACAATATGACCATAACATGTATAGTGTTTGACTGAATAAAGGATTATTTAAAAACATATATCGGAAATTATCCTTTGTTCCTCATGTTAATAAGGTACTGGCAGAAGACTTAAAAAGTTATGGATTTACCATATATTGCACCAGAGACGTTAAAAATACAGAAATGATAAAAATATTACAAAACTTATATGTCAGGTGTAAGTACAACTGGATATAACTGATATATTAATAGCCTCGAAAAAAAAGTTTTTAAAGTATGTGTGGTATAAGTTATATATTATTATATAAGTTAAGTAAATTATGTAATTATCTGACCTATTACATAGACTTAATGTTCTGGTTCCCCGTATTTACCCTAGACGTAATCTGCCCACACCAAGAACAATTTTTTTAAAATTTTCACCTATTTCCTCGATGCGCTCCAAGTACTATTCTCGACATGATCTGGGCTTTTTTTTGCAATCTATTCCTAAAGTAAAAACGTTATTACCCCATTAACTATAACTATTAATTAGAGTCTTATCACATTTTCTTTTTTTAGTAGAGTTAATGTTCATGTTAGACTAGAGTCTAGGTTAAATTGAGTCATATTATCATTACTTGCAATGCCTCTGTAACTATTTAAAGCTTTGTACTACAACCTACTTGTTAGTTGGGGTTCATGCCTGTTAGGTAGACTTCTTTAAATAAATAAATAAATAATTGATAACTATTGTCCTCCTCTACTCATATCGTATAATAACATCATAAGATACAGAAGTGTTGACTCAAAATGGAAATCAATTTACCTACATATTTTTTGAAATACTAATTTATTGGCTTTATAGATGCCCTGCGAGTACCGCCCTTATTAGTTTGACTTTAAAGTAACCGATTATATTGATAGTGTGAAAAAATGTATTCCCCAATACGGTTTTGCATTCGTTACAATTTATTTTTTGGTTCCAGCCCGACGAAAATCTGGCCAACGTTACTCGCATAGAAGACAATCCACACTGTCCTTGGAACTGTGAATTGATAAATGAATCGGGATACGTAGTATACTCCGCCTTAGGTTCTTTTTACATTCCCATGTTCGTGATGCTGTTCTTTTACTGGAGGATATACAAGGCAGCTGTCCGAACAACTCAAGCGATTAATCAGGGTTTCAAAATTACTGGTGAGTTCTTTTCCGTATATATTATTCATTGCTATTAGCAATAGACTCGTTGAAAATGAAAATCTGAATAATTGAATCGGGTCAGCAAGAAGTGCGGTTTCGCACTAGACAACAATAAGTTTTCAATTTTTGAGTTATGCAATATTTAACATACAGATTAGCGAACATGATCGGGCAATGTCTGCAATTATTATTTTTACTTCCATATTAAACTAAAATAACGAATCGGAAATATCAATCTTTAAAAAAAAAATGGGTATGAATACTTTTTAAACTTTCAATAATTTAAAATAACGTAAATGTCAGCTATCATTTGGAATATGGATTTAGTGTTAAGATGAACCTGATCAATCGAAATCACTAGGGCTAGATAAAAATTTCCGTGCATTCGTAAATTTTACCGATGATATTGAAACCTGTTTCGCACAAACTAAGGTTAATTCTCACCGACCCTGTATATCGTTCCCCTCATGAATTAATTAAAGAGTTAAGTTAAATAAAAGAAATATCTTATAAAAGAAAACGTTGCTTATATATTCACGTATTGATTCACGGATGGAAAAATGTGATGACACTATATTCCCGAATATCATCCGTTCGCTTGTTGAACTCCGACTGGAATTCTGCAGACGTTTCGCCAAAATCTCACTTGCCATCTTCAATGCTCGCGCTCCGAAAACACTTCGAACACTGGGAGGTTATCCGCAGTGCGTGCGGTATTTATACCCCTGCGCCGGAGATGGTAACGGTGCTGCTTGTGCGGGATCGGAGGTGGCTCCGCCCCCCCAATTGTCGCGTTGTTAATTTCGCCCGATCGTAGTTGCGATGTCCCCGTTGGCTACTGCGTATCGCTCTGCTGTTTGATTATCGTTCTCCACGTATTGGATAAATGCAGAGCGTCGTCTCTCGTATTCAGGTATCCGGACTTTTCCATAAGTAACCGAAATCAATTTTATGGCCTGTCTGATGTTGGTGCTGAAACAAAGCAGATGTTGTTTGTTTGTTTCTTATGGCTAAACGATGTTCCTCGAGCCTGGCTGAAATCCTTCTGTTGGTCCGTCCCACATACGTCAGCATCTTAACAAATAATGATGTCAATTTGCAACTTTGTTATTTTTTGTTATATATATATATATATATATATATATATATATATATATATATATATATATATATATATATATATATATATATATATATATATATATATATATATATATATATATATATATATATATATATATATATATATATATATATATATATATATATATATATATATATATATATATATATATATATATATATATATATATATATATATATATATATATATATATATATATATATATATATATATATATATATATATATATATATATATATATATATATATATATATATATATATATATCAAGTTAAGATGCTTCTTTATTCGCGCTTTATCAATATAAATGTTATCAACTCTCCATTTTTAAAATATTTAAATAACAAATAATGGATGGATAAAACAAAATGCTTTATTAAAATTTCATTCCACGGATTAAGGTGAATTTCAAGGTCACCAAACTTAAAAATAAAGTATTCATCATGTCATTTCTAATTCACAGGAATAGTCTTCATTTTGGGTTCCGTTTGGAGTCGATAAAATAATTATGTGTTTATTAGTGTTAATTAAATTTAAGTAAGTTAAGCAAATTATGGAGTTCTTTTATTCGCAAGTGCTATAATTGGTTCCATTATTTATTCGTTGGGCTGGCAGCCCTAATTTTGGCATCTAGTCTGCTTTGCTGCTAAAAAATAAAATTCGACTGTTTTTATTTAATTGTACATTAAACAAACTGGCGCTTTTTTGTAAATTAATCTGAACGAAGTAACTTAACTGCTACCAGAGTTAACATTCGACGAATAATTTGAAATTTCAACACCCGCTAAATGAACGTTCGTGTACCCAAATGAATGCCGTTAAATACACGTAATTACGCAATCAACGATATTGTACGATGTTCAGCAAATTACCATTATTTGTTGTTTGTTGCAAATGAAATATTTAACGAATTAATATTTGCCGGGCCGTTTCGTTTAGCGTGTCGGTGCAGAAACGGTGAGAAATTCAAGATTAAAAAATATGAAATCCTGTTAAATTGTTCTATATAGAATATACAACTGTAAAAATAAATTGTACATTATAATTGTAGGTTAAAAATACGTACGATATTTCCTCTAAATGATGATTGATGAATAGAGTAGAGTCGGCATTATTAAAAATAATATCACCAAATCGGTTAAAGCACTGTTGTCATATGCACTTAAATGCGGTTTAAATTTGCAATCATATGCAGGGTGTTCAGAAATTGAGTTAGGAAGATTGGAAGAAAGATTCGATGTGGTAAAATAATGGTAGTCATGTAACAAAAATTGGAAATCGTAATATTTTCCGAGTTAAAGCTCGTCAAAATTCATTTTTTAATATATATTTTTTTAACGCAGTGGGCTTGATTCTCAACGGGATTAGCTGGTATATTATACACAGCCCGATTTAGTAAAAGCCATCGTTAAAAAATAAAAGTGTTTCAGAAATATATCACTAGATGGCACTGTACCTAGAATCTGTTATATGTAGGTAGAAAAAAGTCCATCGGTTTAAGGTCTGGTGAGCGAGGCGGCCAAGCTAGAGGTCCGCCCGGCGTATCCATCGATGTTCGTACAGCCAATGTAAAATGGGGTAGAGCGCCATATTGCATTAACCACACGTTTTGTCTCAACTGCAAGGTGGTAGTTCCTCTTAGAGAAATTGCAAATACATTTTCCCGCTATGCCATCCGTTATACATTTAAAGAAAATTGGCCCTAATGTTTTCCATCAATTTTTGCATGTGTTTTCAATGTTCCACTGATGCATATTTCGAAAATTTACCATGCAGCTTCCTCAGTGGACAAGAAAGAGACAGAAAGTTTGTATTCTAAGCCGTCGTGCTTGATATGCATTTCCATTTACTCTTCCGTAGCATAAATGCACATCGCGATATTCATTGTTTGAATATTCGTGATGGACCATTACAGTAGCAGTTGGATAATAAGCTCTTTCAATTGAATTTTTCAAATTTAATTAAGTTCTGTTAGGTAAAATTCAAGCCGAGAATAAAAAATCTATTAGTGGCTAAACGATAACACTTATCGAGTTAAAACAAGAATAAAAATATATATAGCTATAACTCGGAAAATATTATGATTTCGATATTTTGTTACATGTGACTTACTACCATTATTTTACCACGTTGAATCTTTCCTCCAAGTTTCTGACCTCGATTTCTGAACACTCTGTATAACGATTAATATAGAGGTAAATAATAAAATATCATTTCGCATCCCCAAAAATAATTTAGAGTTTTGGATAACTATGGTCCAAGTCATACTGAAAATAGAGAGTGGAGTATTCTGAATCGCTGTTGTCGGGCCAAAATGACGTCCAGTATAAAACAAATTTGGCCGCTGGGGTTCAAACTTTATCTCAACATTTTCATGTACATCGGAGAAATTTTTGTCTTTGAGAGATTGGAGATTATCAGTGGACGACATTTCTATGACATGCATGCCGTAATTTCCAGCATTTTTTTTTGTGGATTAATAAAATAATTTTCAAAACAAATGCCTGAAGCTAAAACATTTTCTCTTTCACCTATTTGCTATTTCTGTTTTCCCATTTTTAGGAAGTTACCGGGTCACCTGGTACGTCGATTTAATTTTTTTATAAAATAATTTCATTTGCAAAAATTTCAGACGCTATAGAGGGAGGGAGAGAGGACGAAACGTTTTGCCGGATTAGCGCTGTAATCGTTAACTGTCATTTAGATTTTCCTCTGGTCGAGGTATCCTTATTCGAAGTGGAAAACACCGCTAGTTTCTCCCCAATGAATCTCCATACCATTTACTTAACAGGTTTGCTTTATTCGGCAAGCAAGTTAACGTAGGCGAAAAAATCTAGTCGATTAAATCGGAAACGATCGATCTGCTTTGATTACTTGATTAATGGGTCCGATTTTCTCCGATAAGAACTTTACGTTCTCCCTTTAATGAACGGGGATATACGAGGGATTTTTCAAAGCAGATAAAGACTTGTCTTTGAGAGAGGACTTTAATAACATTGAATAACTGATGCACAGTTATCTGCGACGCAGATCTGGACCATTATTTTGATTCATGTGCCCTCGATGTAGCAACCACTTGTCAACGACGTAATCCAAGTAAAGTGAGTGTCTTACTATTTTAACAGAGGACGTAATATTTAGAGCCCAGGTGGCGAAAATGGGACTAAATTGGCTGCGATTTTTTAACAAAAGTTCATAAAAAGAAATTACTTGTTGAAACTAAAAAAAAAAACTTCCGTTGTCTTGGCTTAAGTACATAACGTTTTAGACTGATAAATCACTGTCTATTATCAAGTGTACAATAAATTAATTACTTAGATTGCTACTCTCATACCTTTTAGCTATAATGAATGGGCAATTTTTACTTATCGCATCATAGACCCCTCAGAAATAATATTATATAAAATACAAAGTGGTTTTTAACACAAATCGAATTCCAGGAAATTGCAATTGCATCTCAATTATTCCGCAGTTAGGCACTCTGTTGGTTTTATTCATTTACATTCCTCTCGTTGAGAACCCACTTTTCCCGATGCAGAGGTGTTCCTAGAATATTGGTTAGTACACACAATGAACTATTGGAGCGGATTAAGGAATAATAGACACATTGGCGTGATTCAATGGAATGTTTGGAACGTTCTAACAAAATGTCAGTTCAATGTTTTCAATGAATAAAAGAGGCCGATGAAATTCTTGATCAACTTGATTTCGTTTCCCATATAATCGACTATTGTTTAGCTAGTAGCAACTATTATTTTATAAACTTCTTCTTTTCTTGTGCCAGATAAAATAAGTGCAATTGAATCAGTTATATTGCCAGCAACCATCCCGATGGATAACACTTGCCGCTATA